ATATAATGGTCAAGATCACAGATCTCCAGCCAAAGACCAGAATATTAAAAGCTGCTAGAGAAAAGAAACAGATTACCTATAAAGGAAAGCCCATCAGAATCACGGCAGACTTCTCAACCAAACCATCCAATTGAGAAGAGCTTGGGATGAAGTATTATAGGTCATGAGACAAAACAGCTTCCAACCAAGACTGATGTACCCTGCACCAAACTATCCTTCAAATTCAACAGAGAAATAAAATATTTCCATGACAAAGAACAACTGAAGAACTTCATGAATGCCAAACCATCATTGCAAAGAGCACTAGAAGATATTCTAGACAGAGAAAAAAAATGACTGCAATTTCAAGAACAACAACAGAAAGGAATCCCCAAGCAGAGCAATCAATTAAACAGATAGAAAAAGTAGGAAACCAATAGCAAGTAAATAACACGTCAATGACAAGTCAATACATATCAGTTATAACCATAAATGTAAATGGCCTCAATTCACCAGACAAAAGAAACAGACTGGCAGAGTGGATTAAGAAACAAAATCCAATAATATGCTGTATACAGGAAACACATTTTACTGAAAAGGAAATCCATAGCCAGAAAGTAAAAGGATGGAAAATAATCTTCCATGCAACAGGAACCCAGAAAAAAGAAGGTGTAGCTATTCTGTTTGCAGACAATGTAAACTTCAAACCAAGAACAATCAAAAGAGATAAAGAAGGTCACCACATACTTATTAGGGGAAAACTGCAAGAAGATGAGATAACAATCATAAACATGTATGCACTAAATTTCAGACCACCAAACTATGTAAGAAAATTTTAACAGACATGGAAACCCATATAATTAATAACATTATTGTAACAGGGAACCTTGACACCCCTTTGACACAAAGAGATAGGTCAACTAGACAAAAGAAAAAGTAAAAAAGTAACAGATCTGAACCAAATCTGTGAACAAATGGACTTAGTAGATGTATACAGAGTGTTCCACCTCACCACATCAAAATACACATTTTTCTCAGCTGCACATGGGACTCTTTCTAAAGTAGACCACATTCTAGCCCATAGAGCATACCTACCTAAATGCAAAAGAACTGAAATTATCCCATGCATATTATCTGACCATAGTGCAATGAAATTGGAAATTAATGACAAAAGGAACACCAAAAACTCCATAAACACTTACAAATTAAACAGTAGCTTCCTGAACAACCAATGGGTCACAGAAGAAATTAAAAAATACCTACAAACAAATGTAAATGTAAATACAACTTACTGGAATCTGTGGGATGCAATGAAAGCAGTCATCAGAGGAAATTTATAGCGGTGAACTTACACATTAAAAAAACAGAAAGAGAACAAATAGATAGTCTAATGCTGCACCTCAAACTTTTAGAAAGAAGAACAAGTCAAGCCCAAAGTCCAAAGATGGGAGGAGATTATAAAGATCAGCACAGAAATTAATGCAATTGAGATGAAAAAAACCCTCCAAAAAATAAATGAATCAAACAGTTGATTCTTTGAAAGAATAAATAAAATTGATAAACCTCAAGCCAACTTTATCAAAGAAGGAAAAGAAAGAACTCAAATTCATGCAATAAGGCACAAAAAGGATGAAATTACTGCAGATTCCACAGAAATTCAGAAGATCATTAATACCTACTTTGAAAATTTTTACTCCCATAGGATAGAAAACTCAGAAGAAATGGACAGATTCCTAGA